TTCCTTTGTGTAAAAGTCTATGGAGTGCCATCTTCATTTGCATTATTTACTGGTGCTTCTTAGGTGATGATAGATTTTCAAGCAGCTGAAAAGAAAAGGCTCCAAGAACCAGCTTCTGAAATCGGTTTGGAGCCTCTGTGTGCAATGGTACACTACTACCTATATTATTTATTGATCTTGATGATGTTGGTAAGTTCTGTATGCAGTTGACTCACAACTACAATTATCTGCAGATAAATAACAATCTGCGTTGCTACGACCTTGCAATGGAGTTAAGTACAAGCATAATTGAAGCACTTCCACAGAATTATGCTGAGCAGGTCATTATATTGTTCCCAACCATGTATTCAGTCAAGCAACCTGGTCTCTGTCTTGATTACATCAACCCCAAATGTGTTTGTGAATACTGTTTGCATTCTGATATATCCCACACTTTACTACTTAGCCCTATATGTATCAAATTCTTAATGCATTATGGATATAGAAACATTGGCGGGTAAAATCATATGCACACTTCAACAAGTTGTCCCTCTAAATTACACAGCCTGGCCTAACTAAGTCCATGCCATCTCTAAACACGAATTGCCACCCTCTTCATTAGTCATAAGATTTCTTACAGTAGTAATATATTAATTATGTCATGATCTGGATGCTATTTGTTTGATAGATTAATTTTTACCACTAGGTCTGAACCTAAGTTGCATGGATGCTTTTCGTCACCCATGACTAATAGGTTAACCCTTTGAGGTTCATGAATGCAATATTACTAAGGCAATTAACGAAGCGCATAATAGAAACTGCACGTGCATGTGCTCTTCAGTTATTTTGGGTTCTTGAACTGAGTGTCCTCCCTTTGAACAGGTTAATTTTGAAGATACTTGTAAAGGCTTCTTGGAGGTCACAAAGGTACAAAGATCAAAATTGCTTTTGTTGCATCTTTTTTCTTCCAAATATTTTTATTTTTGCTGAAAGGCCACATGGTCCCTTGAGGTTTTCGTTTTAACCCTGCCTGACTCCTTAACCTATTCCTAGACAGTCGGCCTAAAACCTATATTTCGGGTCAGCAGCCCCCTCTGAACATCTCCATCTGATTGGGCAACCCTAGATTTATTTTCTTCTCCTCAATTAACACTACCTACACTTGCCACCTTGTTTTAAGCCACGCGGAACCCAACAATTTCTCTTTTGGGTTGTTGGTTGGTGGGTGGTGGGGGGGGGGGGGGGGGGGGGGGGGGGGGGGGGGGGGGGGGTTGGTTGTTCAGCAAGCCAACAAATCATTCAGGGACTAGCGCATCAGCATGTCAATTTTCAGGGACTATTGGACCTGCAAGCCTTTGATGGAACCAAGAGTGGGGTATTTAATGGGTAGAGAAAACGGAGATTTAGCAAGGTTATGCCATACTATGCTAGGATGTGTGTGTGTGTTATTTTACATGCCACATCAACTTTTAGAAATCGAATTTAATATCTGGCATTCTTCTGCAAATTGTTGTATTTGTAGGAAGCAGTGCATCAAACAGTTAAAGTTATCTTTGAAGATCCAGGGGTTGAAGAGTTGCTTGTCAAGCTTTATCAGAAAGGTAAACCAATATCCTTCTTATTCCCTTTTTGAACTGAATTGTTGGATTAGGTTGACCTTTCATCAGATACATGCATCTGGCAGTTATGTTGTGCTGTGGTCACTATGATATACGCTAGTACTGCTTCATTGGCAATGTTTCTAGAAGTCCAAAGTAACTGATTAAACTCTGTTATTGTGGAAAGTGTTATCGCAGTTGGCTTCAGAATTTTCTTTTGAAGAACACACATTATTAAACGTAGAGGAATTTGGTCAAATTTTAATCAACTGCCTCAAAATCCTAGTGGATTGCAATTTCACTGTAGTGACTAACCATGTTTGTAAATACATTCAGCTAGCACTTGGAAGCTAGGAGTGTAGCGATTTCTTGAAGCATCTTTTACATAATAAAAAAATTGCTGGCTGGGTACCAGCCATCTGTCATCTTGAAACCTATGACAATTCGATGTCTCTGTTGTTCATTGATGGTCCTTCTAGCATGTATACAACTAAGTTTTCGAAATGATCACTTGAAGTATTATCGAAGTTTTTCAACTGTCTGAACCTTCTTTTGATTAATGTAAATCTTTCAGAACTTGTAACCATGGTCTCTTGGGCTTACAGAAAAACCTCATTACCAACCTCATTAGTGTGGCTTGTATATCTGCAGAATTAAAAGTCAGATGTGTGCTTCAGTAGATGATGCAAATGTTTTTTGTGGCTAATTTAAAATGTTATTGGCTTAAAGTTTGTCAGGAATTTTATATGATTTCATGTTTCAATTGATATGTATTGAAGTTTCCTTAAGACATGAATAAACAGTATCTCGGCAAGCCAGCTCTGGTCTACTCTTATTGCAGCCCTATGTCTTAGGGAATGTTGGATGTTCTAAAATAAGGCAATCATATTTCTGTTTCTAAGAATGAGCAAGGGAGGACTTAGCTTGATGGATTGTTGTTTGCTTTGGGTGTTCTTTGTATCTTGCTTCTGAATCTGGGGTTTCTATGTCTCAGACTGGTCGGAAGGACAAGTCACTGAATACCTTGTTGCAACGTTTGGTGATTACTTCGCAGACGTAAAAATGTAAGTTCCCTCATGGCCTTTCAGTGGTGTTTCTGCAACATTTGTTTTCATGCCTTGTAGTTTTCGGGGGAAAGCATAGTTCTGACTGTTCCTTACTTTTTGTAAAAATTCGGAGTTGGGTTGTAACTTTGCATCAAGCTTGACCCATGTTGAGCTCGGAATAATTGGGCCGTGTCTGGGTTTGGCTATCTAGCTATGAATTTTTATTGTCTTTGAGGCCACCCGATTCTTGTTCGTATTTAATTAGGCCCTCCGAGCCACACCAGATAACTCTTTGCTTGATGTCAGTTCCAATGCTAGAAAGATTTCAATGTGGTAGATGCATTGAGCGATTACAGTTTCAAATAATTTACGCATTTGTGTTTATATATATTGATTGCCTAAATAGTAAATATGAAAGCATGAGACATTTAAATCTACCCATTCAAATAATATATCAGAGGGTTTCAAATACAAAGTATGTCATATTATTTCTCCATTTTCTGAAAAAGTGAGGTTGGCATAATTAGTTATGATAAACTAAGGGTTCATTTTCTGTCAGTTTTTTTAAGGAATTCAACATACCCTGCATTGCGCTTAATGCTGATCACTCTAGATATTGATATGAACGTATTGTCTATATATTATTTGAAGAAGAGCAATTAGATGATTTCGTGAATTTTTTTGATGGGTAGGTACATTGAGGAAAGATCGTTTAGGAGATTTGTGGAGGCTTGTGTGGAGGAGACAGTGGTGGTCTATGTTGATCATCTTATGACGCAGGTTTGGATCTATTCTCAAGAGTAGTAATATTGCACAACATTTTTCTGTTGTTGATAGAGAATGCCAATAGATCTCTTTTATCCTTCTGTTTAAGCCAGTTCCTAATGTCATGTGATGATGTTTGTAGAAAAACTACATAAAAGAAGAGACCATAGAGCGGATGAGGCTTGATGAGGAGGTGATCATGGACTTCTTCCGCGAGTATATTAGTGTCTCTGTAAGTGCTGCTGCCTTTTGATCTTTGAGCAATCACTTCTGAGAGTTATCCGCTTACATTGTTGGTTGTCCTTTTCCTGTACTTTATTACTGATTTTAATCTGGCTTTGCACCAGAAAGTGGAGAACAGAGTGAGGATAATGAGCGACTTGAGAGAACTTGCTTCAGCAGAAAGCTTGGATACGTTTACACTTGTGTACACTAACATTCTGGAACATCAACCAGACTGCCCGGTACATACCCCTCTTTCGCTCTATAATTCTCTATCGGTACTCTCATAGTTTGCTCAAAAGAGTCGGGTAAAGCCCAAAAAGAAAAGGAAAAAAACCTTTACGTGACAAGATATGGATTTTGCTTTCATTTTGTTGGGCAGCCTGATGTGGTCGAGAAGATTGTTGCGTTGCGGGAGGGAATACCTCGAAAGGATGCCAAAGAGGTATGTCCATTGATCTCATAGATTCTCCAGCAAAACATCCTTTGTGCACGAGTATTATCCTCGACTTTACAGAGTGCATAGTGGAGTTTGATTGGATTGCAGCTGTGGAGTTCGTTCTCGTCTACGTTGTGTGACTGTGGTTTTGTTGTTGCCGTCGTTGTTTTTGAGTACAGGTGGTGCAAGAGTGCAAAGAGATATACGAGAATTCACTTGAGGACGGTAACCCACCGAGGACAGGTTTTGTGTTCCCGAGGGTTAAATCTTTAGCTGCTCAAAAAGGTTTTAACTGGCGAAAGCTCACCTAAACTGCCGAAACGGCTCCATGCCTCTCGAGAAGGGTGTCGTTCTTCACCCAGAAGATATTATAGTACTATACTAGTGCATTTATTCATTTATGTCTAACATCCTTTTGTTCATACCGTCGCAAATGAAGTATTCTTCTGTTCACGTCTTGGGGTCGCAGAGATATAATTTATAGGCTGTTGTTGTTTATTTGGTGTTTTGTAATCCTCTCTTCTCCCCCTTTCTTTTTTTTGTTTTGGATTAGAATTTACTTCAAGTTCATTTTGGTAAAAGGACTGTAGTAAAATTTCGAGAACTGGCGAATACGCCAGGGGACTAGACATTTGCCTGGAGATTTGATATGAAGCTAAGCCATCCTCTGAGTTTACCTTTCAGCAATTTGCGAACACGTCACTTCTTTTATCCAGGCTATCTTAGTGATCCCAAGTCTCAACGAGGTTGAATTTTCACCCAAACATAGTAGGATTCATTGGCGTATGTTGAGCGAAAATTCTGAAAAACATGATTGAGTCATGTCAATGCTAGTTTGATTTGCGTAGGAAGAAAGAAACTAGAAGTGCAAAGACGTGATAGAAATCGTTAACATGAGCATTAGCTAGATCGGCCGAAGTTAGCTCAGCTTGTACCATTCATTTCGGTCTAGTCGATGATTGTATACTAATGCATAGTTCCATTGCCATTAGCATCAACCGGCGGATGTGAAATTATGAAGCTGTGAAATTATGAATTTCTTGAAGCGAATTCCGGCTATGAGTTGTGGCTCTTGGCCCAGGTTTACAAAGGCAAATACTTCCCCAAAGGAACGTTTCTTCAGGCTTTGCCACGATCTCGGCCTTCCTCGGGTTGGCAAACATCATGTATGGACGCCAGTTGCTGGAGGTAGGTCTTCGTTGGCAGATTGGAAATGGAAGAACTGCCTCCCTCATTCATTCCCAATGGATACCTCGGTTCCAGCTTGACTCCCCAAGTTATAATCCGCAGATTTTACCAGGTGAGGGTGACCCGAAGGTGGCTGATGTCATTTGTCAAGGGGAGGGGCGGTGGTGTGACACCAAACTTAGCCAGTGGTTTGACCCGTCTACCTGTCGGACCATTAAAGCAATTCCGCTGCCAAGGCAGAATATGGAGGATAAGATGATATGGCATGACACGAAGGACGGGGTTTTCACTGTTAAATCAGCCTATCATCTTGCAGTTTCCCTTGATAGGAGGAAGGGTGGTTGGAAATCTCTGGCAAGTTGGATGGATAAGGCTAGTTGGGTCAGATTATGGAATGCAAATATCCCGCCTAAGTTGAAGGTCTTTGTCTGGCAGATCCTCAATCGGGCCCTCCCTACCACTGAGGCGCTAATTGAGAGGAAGGTCCCCATCCATCCTCGTTATCCGGTGTGTTGGGCTAGTTCTGAGACAATGGAGCATTTATTTCTCGACTGCCCGGTTGCGGGAGCACTTTGGGATTATTCGGGGTTGGATTACTTGGGAGAGGGGTTGCCTCGGCATACTTTTCCATATTTTCTGAAGAAGCTGCTAGCCTTGATTCATCAGCCCACGCTATTCATGGCAGTTGTGGCGGTTCTTTGGAGGATCTGGCGATCGCGTAATTGGGTGGTCTTTGAGGGTAAACAGTTCGGTTTCCCTGCGTTGATGCGTCAGTTTCACCAGCAATATGAGGAGTGGATGGCTTTGCCGCTTGCTGGCCCTATGCATGTCAGTTGCCCCACGGGGTCACATCAGCTGGCTCCGGTGGCGGCGGATAGTATTGTGTGTATGTGGGATGGTGCCACTAAGAGTGGTTGCCATTCGGCTGGTGGGATTGTTCTCTTTACTCCTTGAGGGAGATCCTCCTTGTAAAAGGTGTCCAAATTCCGGTGATTGATGCCCTATGGTGGTGGAACTGCTTGTGCTTAGGATGGCGATTCTTTGGTGTCTGGAGTTTGGATTTGCGAACGTCATTTTTGAAGGTGATGCCAAGGTGATCATTGATAAAATCAATCAAGCAGATACTAGAGATAACCATGCAGGGGCTGTTCTTGAAGAAGTTGTGAAATATTTTAGGCCCCATTCAGAGTTTGTTGTTCGATTTGTAGGTCGGCGTAGCAATAGGGTAGCCCATCTGGTGGCTAGAAAGACCATTTCTTTGTCCCCGACTACGAATCATGTCTTTGATTTTCAGACCTGGCTGCATTCCAGGGTGTAACTATCTTTTGGTTTGAATCAATATATATCTATCTTTTGTAAAAAAAAAAAAAAGCTGTGGAAGTGAGCACAAGGTTGCAGATAGAACAACAATTATGGACTTTGCAACCAAAACAAAAGCAAAACGGCCATTGCAATTCCGGACTCTTTGCGGATTCGATTTCTCCATGTTACTCACTCACTCGTCCCCATCGATCAAACAAATGGCGGCATCCAAATTTCAAAATCAGCCAAGCGAGAGCATTTCCATTCGTCATATTTGTCCTGTGTCACAATCATGGTCTATAAATTAAAATCCAACCAGTTGCTTAATTCCTCACCACCAACACCATTACAGATAGAGTGATCAGAGTAAACTATTTAGAGCGATCTCCGCAGGGGTTACATTATCTTCGAAAACCAGGAAAGAGGCTGTCATGGCTTATTCAGCAATGAAACTGGCCGTAGCAGTGATGGTCCTGCTGATCGCAGCGGCAAGAAGCGCCAACCTGGACGTTGTCAGCGGGCCGACTTGCAACAGCGACATAGCTACCGACAAGAAAACTGCCGGGTACATAGGTGCGGCGCTGACAGAACTGGCCGGCATCACGTCCGTGAAGGGAGGTGGTCATAACAAGACGCGCAACATCCCCGACGACAAGTCAGGGTCGATCTCCGGCAGCGCCAGCTGCAAAGACGGCCGCAATTTCATCGACTGCATCACTTGTCTGGGGAAGGCGGAGGGGAAGCTGCTCGACAACTGCAGGAATCGGACCGAGGCTGCTGTTGAGCTCGGAGGTTGCCAGCTTCAGTATGCCAAGATCAAGTAGGCAAAGACGAACTCTTTTCGTTACTGAAGCTGCCGCCATGTTTTAGCCTGTGTTCAGGCAATTTTCGAGTCTTCTAACTGCTGATCTTAAATGGCTGTTTTTGCCTGTCTTTAAGCTTTCCTTTTGATATTGTTAATGATATGGAGTTTGCAAATCTTGATTATGAAGTTTACAGACTCGTACTATTAATAGTACTGAGTTTTCTACAAGCACAAGAGGCAAAGGGAACTTGTAATTTTCGATTTATGATCAACTTATGATACGACCTTAAGGAGATCAAACAAGAGCAGTAAAAAGACACCTGCAGTCCTGTATGAACTACTATAGCTTTGAACAAATAATAGTGAATGTACTATACTGGAAAGAAAGGAGAAGAGGAATACGAAACTCAATCGACGGGGACTCATCCACAGCAATGCAGCATCAGCAGGTCTAAGCCTTGTTTTGTTTGTTATTTCGATCAGTTGTTTCTGGGGACACCAAGTCTCAGCCTGAAATCTTCCTCCATTAGTGGAAGCCCGTCCTTCAGCTTGATCTTGGGTTCCCATTTCAGCAATTCCCTGGCCTTCGTGATGTTCGGCTTTCTCTGTCGAGGATCGTCTGGCGTGTTCTCCACCATTTTTATCTCCACCTTTGGATTGATAAGCTGCACGAGATATGAATGAAATGATTAATACAAACCTTTTAAAAATGTTTGGAGAACAGGACTGGTAAAAGGACTTATTGAACTAACCTCCTTGACATTCTCAGCAAGCTCAATCATGGTGAATTCACCAGGATTTCCAATGTTGATTGGTCCAGTGTTTTCTCCGTTCATCAACTTCATAAGACCATCAACCTTTACAGCAGGGAGAGTTAGCTTTGATAATCACGAATGAGGAGTATAATCCAACCATTGGTTAATCAATCCAGAGAACAGAGCTGTACCATGTCGGAGACATAACAGAAGCTTCGGGTTTGTGTTCCGGGTGCTTGAACAGTCAAAGGCTCATTGCTGGACAAAAAATATAACAGTAAATTTGGTGGTCAGTTGCAATCTTGCAGGGCATAATAATAAGGGCGACAAATAGTATCAACAAAACTGAACCCACCGAAGAGCTTGAGCAATGAAGTTGCTGACAACACGACCATCGTCAATGTTCATGCGAGGTCCATAGGTGTTGAAAATTCTGGCAATTCTGATCTCTGGTAACATTATTATCAAATCTCAGTTAACAATGGGCTGACGATAAACTCCAGACAAAAAAATGTTCAAACAAAGCTAGCCACGTACCAATGCCGTGCTGCCTGTGATAGTCGAACATCAAAGTTTCTGCCACTCGCTTTCCCTCATCATAGCAACTCCTGACTCCTATAAGTTTACAGTAAAACGACTAGGCGATTAAACTTTGAAGGAATGCCCAAGGCTAAATGGATGCATTTCATATTAATTTTATGCTGGAAGCCAAGAATATAGAACATTTTGAATTACCAATGGGGTTGACATTTCCCCAGTAGCTCTCCTCTTGAGGATGAATAAGGGGATCGCCATAAACCTCAGAAGTTGAGGTCAACAGAATCCTATGAATAAACAACCACTTTCAATCAGTAACCTAAAAATGTGAATGAACAAGAAGCAGCTACCAAAATGATTCCCGAAAACACCACCATATACCTAGCTCCAACTCTCTTGGCAAGCCCCAACATGTTCAATGTACCAATCACATTTGTCTTAATGGTCTGTCAAAGAAGAGCAGACATGCCTTGAACAACGATCTTTCATAGGAGATCAAAGACACAAGCTTTGTTAAGCAGACATATATGATTTATACCTTCACAGGGTTGTACTTGTAGAATATTGGAGAAGCTGGGCAGGCAAGGTGGTAAATTTGATCAACTTCAACCAGCAAAGGTTCAGTCACATCTGCACAAGACAAGAACAAGAATTGATATCAAACTTTTCCCATTACCATCAAACAGTCTGAAAGAGTGTAAGTAGTTACCATGACGGATGAGCTCGAATCTCGGATGACCAATCCACTTCTTAAGGTTGTCCTTTGAGCCAGTGAAGTAATTGTCAGCAACAATCACCTGTGAGAAACAAGAATCAAGCACATTTTTCATGCCCGTTAAGTTGCATTGCTCCATAGTTACAGAACACGAGACACAGTTCAAAGCCATTAATGAAAGCCTTGTTATTACCTCATTCTTTTCGTTCTCCATCAATTTGTCAACAAGGTGGGAGCCAATGAAACCGGCTCCTCCAGTGACCAAAATCCTCATGTTGGACTGCCACAAAATCAATTCACAGTTCTTTTTAATCTAAGATTCATCTCTGAAGAACAAATCACCCAATGCACGAAAAAATTTACCTGAAAAAACTTGGAGAATCTCAAGGGAGATGGAGTTGGTGGTGGCTTAGCTGCAGAGTTGTGATCTCCATTGGACTGAGCCATTCTTGTGAATCAAAATTTCCGATACCCTAAAACAAACAAATTACCAAATGCAAAAGTCAGCCCCACAACATTCTCCACTGCAAATGCAATCACCCAAATGAAGAATCATGATAATGCCATAAACAAGAGGCAGACACCCTAAAAGAAAAACAAAAATGAAAGACGCAAACATCAAATGCAGAAAACCAACCTAAGAAATTCAGAACCCAGATCAGAATACTAGGTGAAAAATATCTAAAAAACTCTGGCTGTGAGATGCAATGACACAGAAAGACAGCAGTTTTATACAAACCGAAATTGAAATCTGCAATGAATTAGACTAGCCTAAAATAATCATCAACAAAGTAAAAACTAATCAACCACACTAACAACTCCACCAAACTCGGTGTGATGGAAGGGAGGAAAAACAGAGCAGCAGCCGCAACAAACATCATTGGGACGAACCTTACAAAACAAGGAAAGCATCCTCAACCGAAGTGAAAGCTTCAAACCAACGACAACCCACATTGCACAACAAACAAAAAATCTCGGATCTGAATCTAAATTATAAAAGAACCCCAAATTTTACACAATTTTAAAAAATTGAGTGATCGTAATTACCAGTGGGATTGTATCTCTGCCAATACAGAGGATCTGCTATTCCGTCTTGTTCAGGAAAACGGAGATTTATATATCTCTCTCGATTCAAAGAGAACGAGTTCTGAAGGTGACAGACTATGAATTGACTGAATTTATACGAGGAACTCGACGTTCACCCAAGCTACGGAGCTTCGAGTCAGCTGCACCGTCACCGTTTCGGTTCGGGTCAAGACTCCGACTCCGCCAGTGAGCTGTTTTCCCGGGTTTTCTCTTTTTTCTTTGTTTGCGTGTTTGTCGGGTACCAGCCAATTGCGACAGGCCACGTCAGCGTGAGTTGTTTACATGTTGTAACGTCATCTGTGGCTTTAATGTTTAGCGATTACGTCCCCGGAATTTACTCCGTCAAGAAGTGGTAATTCCCTGCGCCCCGGTTCACAGTACGTAGATTGAGCTTGTCATTGGATGTCAGCCACGTCATTTTGTGCGGTGAGTCCGGGGAGCGGTAAACGGAAAAAGTGTACTAGGAAGAGGGCCACGTGATTGTGGCCTTGTTTAGCTAGTTGCGTGTTGGGAAGTTTTAATCCGCCAGAGACCGTAACCGTAAATATGTATGGCGTTATCTGCCACGGTGGATACAGCTCACGTTTGTTTGGTTTGTTTGATACTTCTCCTTTTCTTCTTTTAACCGTGCTTAAATTTTTGGATGAATTCTTAAAATACATATGTTTTTAAAAGAAATTTCTAAAATACACGCGTTATAATAAAAATTCTCAAAATAAACATGTTTGGGCATCACCGTTGTCGTCAATCGCAGTGAGTGCATTCAATGCGGAAGACGAAAGCTGTGAATGCATCACCGCGGTTAAAATATAACTTTGCGCTCGGTTATTAGATTGTAGCGATTTTTTTTAATCTCATATAACTTTTCAAGATATTTCAATATGCAACAAGCCTTCATTTATAAAAAAAGGTCGTTTGTTACCCCAAACGAGCAATTTTTTGATTTTTCCAAACTTTAGAAGGCCATAACTTTTAGCTCCTCAATCCGAACGTCGTAAAGTTTTTTTTTATTGCATATAACATTTTAAGAACTACAGCTTTTACTATAAAAGAATTTCTTAAAAAAGAAATATTTTTAGGTATATGGAATTTTGGGAATAACTTTGCCTTTACTTTTCACAAATCCACATATTTTCCAAATTATGGCTAAAATCAAAGTTGTAGTCCTTCAAAAGTTATGCAAAATCAAAAAAAGTTTCATCACATTCGGATTGCGGAGCACAAATTTATGGTCTTCTAAAGTTTGTCGAAATCGAAAAATTGCTCGTTCGGGTATCAAACAAATTTTTTGTGGTTTGAAGGCTTGTTTCAAATTGAAAGATCTTGAAAAATTATGTGGAATAAAAAAAAATCACTACAATCGGATAACCGAGCGCAAAGTTACGTTTGTTTGAAGTTTCAGTGTTACGTCAGGTATTCACTGCGTCCATCAACCGCGATGATGTATTCACCGCTTTCGTCTGTTACGGTGAATGCATTCACTACGGTTGACGACAGCGGTGATACCCAAACATGTATATTTTGTGAATTTTTTTTATAACATGTGTATTTTAAATTTAAAAAAAAAACATGTGTATTTTGTGATTTTTTTTCCTAAATTTTTACTATTTCCTTTAAATTTTTTACTTCTTACTCTTGAGTTGTAACCGTTCAGAAAACATCTTACTTCATGGGCCAACTCCCCCAGTGGGCCCAACTACGCGCCTATGATTCGATGAACCCACGCTGCGGTTGTTCAAACTTAAAACTCATTTGGTGTCACTAAATCACTTTCCGTTCCCACTGACTGGACGGCTAAAGTAAACCCTGGAGAAGAAGAACAGATCGCGGGAGCATCAAGAGCGCCAAGGATCCAGAAAAACTGCCGTTTCCTCTCTCCATTCGTATTCCTTCTTCTCTGCCGGCTGTAGGCTACTTCCGCCATTTCTCTCCGATCAAACTAAGGCGGCGACGGTATGTCCCGCGATTATTTTGTTTCTCCTTCCAACTCTGATTGTTTCTCAATTTTTGGCATCTGGACGGCCGATCTCCGATTCCCGTTCGGATCTCAAAGTTAGAGATCTGGCGTAATAGGTTTTGTTTTGTTCACCCTTTTTTCCTACTTGCTGGTCCCCCGAATGAATTCTGTTCCCTTGTCTGTATTATGAACCCACAAGTAGCAAACTAGTTAGAATGAGACAGATGAGCACGGGAAGATCGCATAGCGAAGTGGATTATCGCGTTAGACTCCGAATCTAAAGGTCGTGGGTTCAAATCCCACTGTGATCATACTGTTGTTTCCCCTTTTTATTGGCAGCCTGGATGCTTCTTGATCTGAATTTTTTTGCTCCTTGTTTTGATTTTCACTCAATGCTACTTTTGTCAAGTTGCAAATGGGTGATTTTCGGGTTATGAAGGGATTGCCAGGATTCGCCTGTCCATAGTTTGTTTCCTTTTGCAGTTACTCTGCAATCTTATTGATTATCTAGTGTCCTGTGGATGTTAGATAAAACTTTGTGGAACCTACCTTAAGCGTTACAGTCGGTTGATATATGTGTTTCTTATGTTTCATTGTGTTAATTCGATTACAAATGATTTGTTTTTGGAGTTATGAAACCCATTTAGTATGTAAAGATGGTTAGGATTCAATAGCAGCTGGCTTTACCAACCATCAAAATATAGTAGGAAATTGCTATTTTCTCTACCTAAACAGTGGCTGACCTGGAAAAGCATGAAGTTCTACTGGTCTGCCATTCTTAGTGGCAGATACCGCAGCAAAATTTTCAGATTATGTTGTCTTATTAGTGGAGATCTGATTTAGATATGATTGAATGCTGGTTTTTTGTTGTTGGATTCTGCAGATGTTCGACGACCAAGATCTCGGGTTTTTTGCCAATTTTCTTGGCATCTTCATCTTTCTCCTGGTAATTGTTTACCACTATGTAGTGGCTGATCCAAAATATGAGTAACAAATGAGATTAGGTTGTACTTGTACTTGTACACTTTAAGAGGAGAAGATTTAGAGAAGAACACATGTTTCTGTAATCTAGCTACCTAGAATATATTCGAGGATCAAAGTTGAGAACTATACCGTAATTTTGCTTGAAATATCACGAGGATATTGTCCCGATGAATTGATAGGGAGATCAGTATGTTGAAGGTACTGAGCTGAATGAATTGCTGTTGTAGTGATTTTTTTTTTTTTTTTTGTCATAGATAGGTGTGTACAATGCAGTATGCTTACAAATATGTAAATAATCAAATAATCAAATGCGGCGGTCGATAACAAATCAATCCGTCGATAAAAGAGCCTTTTTAGCCACTAAATGGGCAGCTCTGTCAATATCCTAAGAAATGCAACAAAGGATACAAGCGGGTACATAACACACGCCAATGCCAGAGAAGTCGGATGATAGTTCAGCCTTGCTGATAGCAAAAGCAGAGCAACCATTCCACTTGCCACGTGCATGCCGAATCGCCAACAATTGTTTGGCAACACAGATATGCGCCACAAATGAAGCACTTTGGTAGGCCCGTGCCAACTTTCATTGTTGAGAAGCATAATGGATGGAAAACTACGTGTCGCCCCTGCAAAAACAAACAAACACACAAGTGCCCATACTATAGGACAAAACTAAGCTCCACTGAATGGACTTAAACAAGCCATTGAGGCTTAGTCGGATACTACGAATCCAACGCAAACAATGTCACAAGAAAAACAATTTTATTTTTGTATTTAATTTTTTTTAAGTATAGTTAATGAAAAGTTGATATATACGAACAGTTAAGGAAAGAAAAATTAAAAGAGTTTGAAACTGTATTTATGAAAATAAATAAATAATAAAATTAGGGAGGAAAGAGAGAGCAAGCGTATCTGAAACGCGAATCCCGGTTAGAAATCCATCTGAAGTTGTAACTGCTATTTGCTCGAGAATTGTAACCGTCAGCATCAATGGACCTCCAGAATTGAAACCTCCCAAAATGTAACTGCCTCCCGTCGAGACTCCGCCCGGAATCTAACTTCTTGCGCTCGGCTGCGGTGGAGGGTCTTCCGAACGTACCTGATTGGGGAAATACCGTTTCGAACGTACCAGATTTGACAGAGCCGTCAGCCTGTGCAACTTTCCTCGCCGTGGCGGTGAGCACCGCGATCCCGTGCTCCGCCGCGACGACGGTGATGGCGGTGGGGGCATTCACCACCAGGCATCCGAATACGGTGGTTGCCTGGAGATCCACGTTGTCAATCCCGACGACCTTCAGCCTCCCTTTCGCCGTCTCGAACGCCTCCTGCGTCACCTTGGTCCCGCTCCGCACGATCAAGGCGTCTTAGGACGAGATCTTCCGACACAGATCCTCCGGGGAGAGGCCGTAAGAGCAGTCCACGTTTCGAAAATAATACCGTGATTTTCGCCGCGATCTGGGAATCAGCATCCCCCAACTCTGCTTAACCGCCGATGGATTCGTCCCCGCCCGCTCGCTGGTGCCGTTCTTCCCCAACCACCGTCGCCTCAGGATCGCCGCCGTCTATCTTTTCTTCTTCGCCGTAAGGGTGAAGGCAGATCGTTGCCGGGTGTTCTTCCAAGAAGTAGAGACCTCTTTTAATTTGTTTGTTCTTGAGAGAAGGGAAAAGAAAAGCTCCTGTTGTAGTGATTATCCTTCTAAGATGTTTCTATTGAAATTCGAGTGGTTATAACCTAAGGTATCGGCTTGAGATTTCAACAAAAAGTATGAATATGGAGGTATTGGTATCTTTTTTTTTTTGACAAAAGATAATCATATATTGATATTGGAGAATAGATCGTTACACCATATGCCTTAACCAGGCTACAAAATCAAAAGAACGACTCGCTATCGGGTACAAAGAAAGGGCTTTCCTAGCCACCAAGTGGGCTACCCTGTTACTACGCCGACCAACGAAACGAACCCTAAACCCTTCATTCTCCGCCAGATAGAGCAACACTTCACGAAAAATCGCACCCGCAGTACTATCACTCCCATGGGCCGAATTGAGCCTGTCAATCACCACCTTAGCATCCCCCTCAAATTGAACTTGCATGAGCCCTCGGTTGCGGCACCACAGGATGGCCTGCCGGAGAACCAAAAGCTCAACGAGCTTCAGATCATCCACCTCTGGAAAGTAGACACCTATAGCACAATCCACCTCCCTGTCCGGCCCCATCAACACCACCCCCCCCCCCCCCCCGGCCGAGTGTGACCCATGCCTGACCGCTCCATCCCACCTACAAACAGTGGTACCCCGGGTGGTATGGGACACCCGAGGAATACCTTTCACAGGGTTGTACCCCACCCCCTC